GATAGAGAAAGAAAGAGATCTGTATTTTTCCATTATGCTGAGGTTGCCTAAAACATTTTTAACTTTTCCCTTTTCCATACCACTTTCTTACTGATCTGATACTTGTGCCAGTTCAATAATGTCTCAAATGAAAATTTTGTATAAATGCTTATACATTTACTGTGCGAATTTTTTTTATTACACATATCTGTGAGGTCAACTCTGCCGACGAATGTCTAGATTATAAATACAATGATTTCAAAAATAGAACCATCACTTAATCTGAATCATTATGTTTCTATTATTTGTCATAAAATAAAAAAAAATCAAATGTAATTGCAAAAATAGAAACACAAAAAGTACACTACAACATATACTGTTTTTTTTGTTCTACAAAATGTAATGAATGAAATAAAATTAATTTAAGAAGCACTCAGGCATTTGATTATCTAAGCGGTAGTCGCGCTGTTTGGAATCGAGCTGCGCTAAAATTGTCACAGTTGCAACACCCACAAATTCCAACACTGTTGCCGGATTCACAAGAACTTCTTTGACTTATTTTAAAAAGCTGCTTTAGCTTCTTCTACTGCTACTTTCGCTAATTTCTTCGCGACCTTTTAGTTTTGAAGATCTTCATTCGACTTATTTCTTGTCACTATTTATTTAGTTTCCTTGAACTTCGTCTGAATACTATTAGGTCTCTTTATTTTCAAACTTCTCTTCTGAACCATCACTTTATTATTGCTTCATCTACAAAAAGGGTTTATTATATTTCTTCTTAAATATTTGTATTATTTTATTTGAAATGGCTTAATTATTCGCCCACAACATTATTTAGGCTTTTAGCTTCCTCTAATTAAGAAATTTATCAATGGCTTGAATAAATATATTTACACAAAATGTATCACACCATAATTATAAATAGTGATTTTACATTGATCCTTCAATTGTTCTTTTTTATTATAACAATGCCAAAATACTCGTGCCAAAAAAAGTACTTACTAGAATTCTGCTGTGCATCTTTTGGTTTCTCAATTAATTCTTTCCTGTTGACTCACAACTTGGCAATTTTGAAATAATTAATTAAGGATACTGCTTAATGTTGCAGATACAAACAACTTACATGTAACATAATAATAGAAGATGTTTTAATATAATTGTCTCAATAATCGTTTTCTCTAAGTGAAAAATTCACCGAATTTTGTTATTAAAAATTGAGCTATAGGTCCTGCAATTGGAATCATTAAGATAAAATTAATTGAATTAATGCAATACAAAAAGAACTTAGATTTGGTTAATATAATAGTCATATTCGTGTTTTATGATTTTGCTGCTATATCTACCTTTGAGTGATTTTCCACCTATTTCATAAAGTGCCTTGATTTGTATTTTTTTTCAGTGGTCTGTTAGTTTTTGATATATCTGCTTTAATTTTTATATTGTCTTCTTCTTCTTAACGTGCCCTATCAAGTCCCCTTGACGTTGGCGATTAACATGGCGAAACTGTCTCTGCCTCGAGCTATTCTAAAGAGTTGCTCAGCTTTCTTTATTCCTGTCAACTCTCTTATATTCTTCAACCAAGAGGCCTGCTTTCTACCAATTCCTTTGCGTCCTTCGATTTTACCCATCATAATAAGTTGAAGAATATTATATCGGTCTCCCCTTACTACGTGTCCAAAATAGGCCATCTTTCTACATTTGTTGTTATCAAGCAGCTCGCGAGCAGCATTTGCTGTTTCAAGGACTGCCACATTTGTCAGCATAGCCGTCCAGAGAATTTTTAGTATACGTCTGTGCAGCCACATCTCAAAGGCCTCCAGACGATTAATTGTGGATATTTTTAATGTCCATGCTTCGACACCGTATAAGAGGACTGACCAAATGTAGCATTTAACCATGCGCTTTCAATGTTGAAGTTGCAAGTTATCATTACAGAAGAATGACCTCATTTTTAAAAATGTCGTGCGGGCTATCTCGATTCTACATTTTATCTCTTGATCTGGATCTAGTTGTTCAGTAATATGGCAACCAAGATATTAAAAACTGGACACTCTTTGAATTATATGACCATCAACATATAATCGTGCATCTTGATGTGCTAAACGGCTAAACACCATGTGTTTTGTTTTTGAACAGTTTATGTTTAGGCCAAACTCTCTTCCCACTTTATCAATGGCATTTAAAAGGCATTGTAATCCATTCATGTCATCACTTAAAATAACTGTATCGTCTACATATCTGATTGTATTTATCAGAATTCCATTAACTTTCACGCCCCATTCCAAATTATGCAGCGCTTCTTTAAATATTCTGTCTGAATATAAATTAAATAACAGTGGGGATAGTATACAACCCTGTCTGACACCTCTTTGTATTTTACATATTTCTGTTGTTTTTTGGCTTATGCAAGCTGTCGCTGTTTGACGCCAGTATAACTTTTCTATGAATCGTATGTCTTGACTATCAACTCCTTTATCTTTTAATATTGTAATTAATTTGTGATGCTGTACTCGATCAAATGCATTTTCATAGTCAATAAATACAGCAAAGACGTCTTTCCTTTGATCTCGACATTTCTGCAGTAATACATTTAGTGCAAAGAGGGCGTCCCGAGTTCCCAGTCCATTTCTGAAGCCAAATTCTGTTTCATCCTGATCTTCTTCACATTTATCTCTGATTCTACTGTGGATGATGCGTAGAAATATTTTCAAAGTGTGGCTCATAAGGCTTATCATTCTATAATCGGCACAGTTTTTTGGACGTTGTTTTTTTGGTAGTGTTATGAATTCGGACTTTAACCAATCTTATATTATATGAAGGGTATAAATGCAAAAGTCACATTCTCCGCTTTTTAAAACTTTAGAGGAAATAAAAAAAACATTTACAAACAATATTATGAAGTCAATTACAAAATTTTTTTGTTCACGTTTAGAGTATCTTAATAAGGCATTTTATAAAGGTATGGTGAGGAATACATCGCGAATACAAAAAAATTACTTATTAATTTGGATAATGTTACATTTGCTAGTAAAATTTGGGAAATGTGAGGTCTGCACTGTAACAAGGTGAAAACAGTTAGTTTTGAAACCAAGCTTAATTTAAATGTTCAGATAAAAAAGTTTCATATTACTTTATAAACGTAAAAACTAGACCTGAAGAGCTGAATGTGGATCCGATCATAAATTGTTATGGGCTTGCTTCAAAATAAATCCGAAAACATTTAGAGATGCATTACAGGAAACTAGGATGTTGAACACACAAGACAACCCAGAAGAAATGTGAAAAGGTTTCAGAAATGCTATAGAAACCTATGTAGAGAGAACTAGAACCGAAAAAAAGATCATCAAGAGAAAACACTGGATGACAGAACGCTGCAACTTCTCGAAGAGCGAAGGAGAATCGAAGAGCGAAGAAGAATCAAATCTCTTATGTATCAAAACGACACCAACACAAACGAATTAGCAAGGTTAAATAGAGTAACTGAAAGAGCATGTAGGGATGATAACATATAAATGAAGAAATAAACATATAAATGAAGAACTAGAGAGACATGCAAACCGGTATGAATCTCATGAGCTATATAACAAAGTCCGATATCTATCCCGGGAATTTAAACAAATTACAAGATCATTAATTATGCGTTTTTATGTTTAAATTTAAATCATCGAAACTTTTTTTCGCTTGAAAGACATCTCGATGCTGGCTGCCCAAGATGCATTTGACTAATGGCATGGACTATGCTGTCTTTGAGAGCCGCCGTGGCATGTGATATATTCGCATAGACGGTGGCAAGTTTACATCACATACATGTGAGATGACCAGGCACTCAAATTACGTCACCAAGCATGTCTTGTTAAAACCAAATATTGTTGATGTCCATAATAATATCATTCAATTCAGGTCGAAAGAGCTAGTCTGGTCAACATTGTTTTCAAAGAAATATGCACCGCTCAAAATCTACAACAAACAGTGACTTTTTGGGATGCACTAGACGTTTTTGACTCACATTTGAATTGATATTGTTCTTAATTTGGGAATTCTAATTGTTGACTTCCAATTCATCCAAAAAATTGACATTATCACTGAAGAAGATTTTTTAATGAAAATTGGGTCAATCTCCAACTGCTACAGAGTTCATTCATCGACCTCACGTTGTTATCTATAATCGTCTATCTGTAGTTTCTGAATCAGTTCAATTTTGTACAAGTACAGATCCAAGTTAAGGAAAATTTGCTAAGTTGTGGTCTGTGAAAGGCCGAGTTAGTGTGAGCGATGTAAAATTGACTATCTAGGATTCAACAGTTAAGTTTTTTACAAGCATATTCTTATACTACGGTGAACAGTTTAGGCGATAAGGTATCACCTTATCGGACTCCTCTGTTGATTGGGATATGATCCATTTGTTCCAAATCCGGTACGAAATCTCTCTTGCTCTATTAGCTGGTAGAAATCAAGTTTTTTCTCGTTACTATTCTTGTAAAGAGTTTGTATAGGTGACTAACAAGACTTATATGTGTATTGTTTTCTAATCCATGGGGATCTCTTTTTTTGTAAAATAGAATTACCTCAACATTGTGCTATTTGTCCGGTATATTACTGTCCAAAAGGCACATATTAAAAAGATTTTTTTATTTTCTGAAGTAGGCAAGTGCCTGCTATTTTGATTGCATCAGTAACTACACAATCCTCGCCCGGAGATTTGTTATTCTTAGCTTTTCTTAGGATTAGTTTTATTTCGTCTGTTGTGATTTCCGATAGTAGTTCTAATCCTTGGTTAAGAAAGTCCTTTTTTCTTGTTAATATTTTTGGTAACTAAATGACTGGTGACTTGAAAAGCTTCAACAATATGCCACCAAAGTTCAGAAGTCCCTATGTAAATCTTGTATATACATTATGAATAAATTTTGTTATTCATTTGGACATTTTAACAACAAATTTTGATATTTCAATCTGTAAAAAAATATACATACATCCTCAAAATATTTATATGTCATTTTCTAATTTTCTCTCATTTGTTGCAGATGCGCGGAGCTGCACCACATGCGACAAAGTACTCCAGGAGCTAGAGCAAATCGACGACGACACCGACTCATTTGGAGTAGATTTTGTCAAAATTAACGACAAACGACTGGCCAAACAATATGGCATCACCAAGTTTCCTGCTCTCACCTACTTTAGGGAAAAAGAACCGATCATCTACGAAGGTAAGTTAATACATAAAAGTACTTATTGTGAATTATTTAGTTGGCCATTGCCTTTTTTCATGTTAAAAGCATATTCCTCGAGAATTTTTGCTAGTTTCGTCATGGTAGTTTATCTTTCAAGCGTAAATTTTCCTCATCCATAAGAATTCCGAAAATTGGTTCCTAATATAGCTTCTGGACCTCTGCGTGTTCAATGGGACATTTTCTGAAACCAATTTTTTTATTTATCCACCTGACTAGCATCCAAATCTTTATTGATCGTCTGGATTGATTATATCTGTCCAAGATTGATTACGCCTCAATGACTTTTCTCAAACTGACAGCAATAGAATTTCCAGACACCTTCGTGACATATCTATCATAATTTGGTCGCTGAGAAATCACGGAAAGGAAGTAGTTATCAGTATCAATAATTTTATCAGTTAAAAATAGTCTAGTGAAATGGTCAATATTAGAAAATTATCGACTGTTGAACTATTGTATGTTTTCTTTCCAGGTGACTTGATGGATGAAGAACAAGTCCTAGATTTCCTTACCAGCTTAGAAGCAATGGACCTACCCGATCGAATTGAAGAAGTCAATGCCAGAATTTTGGATAAAATTGTAGAAGACACTGACTTCGTTGCTGTTTTGTTTTGTAAGTAGCATAACTCATTTAGCTAAAAACTTGTTCTAATTAATTAATCAGCATTTAGCGACATGTACGTGCTAACAGATATATGTCCAAGGAGATAGAAGCTAACAGATTCAAGAATCACTCGATAGATCGTAGTGTTTATAGTTTTTAACGAATTTTTTTATTAACCAATGTTCCACATTTATTATTTTCAATATATAAAACTCAAACCATAAAGATACAGGTTAATTACTATTAAACTGGGAATAAGCCACAATTAAAGGTAAAAATATGTTTATTGACGTTTCAATTTCCACTTCGGAAATCGTTCTGTAAATTTACTGTTTGTATTTTTAGAACGATTTCCGAAGTGGAAATCGAAACATCAATAAACGTATTTTTAGCTTTAATTGTGGCTTATTCCCAGTTAAATAGTAATTAATTTAAAATGCCACAAGAAAATAACTTCAGAACAATATTAAGATACAGGTACCTAAGAATATAATCCCTTTCACAAAAGCTTTCATCTCATTTCTTTGGTTTCAAGATATTTATTCTAAAGTTGTAGTTTTTTTATAGTTCTTGATTTTTTTGGGGATTAAAACATATGTCTTTAACTAATTTTTTTACATATTTTAATTGTTGTTATCTTTACAGCAATAACAATAAAATCGAATCTAGTTTTTTAGATATTCAGAAAAACTCTGTGTATTTTGTTCTTTCAGCAAGGTAACACTTAAAGCTTATTCCATTTCTGCGAAAAATATCTACTTTTTTAGTCTCCTGACTTCTATTTCTTAATTCTTCCTTCTTTTTTGGTTATATGAGTAAAATTTTCATTGTGTACAAACCAACATTCAACATCGTAAATACAGACAGATATCACGGCGCTTTAAAATAGGTCAGCTAAATTCAGTTTATCACAACACACTATATTTTATGTGTTGACTTAAAAGTATTAATATTTTTAGATGTAATAAACTAACGAACCAATGTCAACATACAGGGGTTTTTAAAAGAGCGATTTGACAAATATTCTATTATGATTTATTTGTAAGATCAAAAAATTAGATTAGGTCTTTGAAAAATATGATATAAAAACAAAAACACAATTAAAGATATCAAAGATAAAAGGTTAAAATCAAGTTCAAAGGATTACATAACACAAATTGACAGAAATATTATCTACCAAATATCAGCAGAAGGATAACGAACGAAAATCTGCCTTAGGCCCATAGCAAGTCTTTTTATTTGGTAATTTTTCTGGTCTAGTTGGTAAAACCCTAAGAATCAAGATGTCCAATTGGTAGGCAGCCAAAACGTTGGTATTACAAGAAGAAGAAAAAAAAGAAGTTTGCTCCTCAGTTGATTTGTGTTTTGAAGTTTTTCTTTATTTCAGTTTTAAGTCCTTAATTCCTTCAAAGTTCTCTCAAATTTCCTGAGTCCCCTCAAAGCTTTGATTTCATATCTTTATATTTGTTTCTGGGATGGTATTAGTTTTCCTCTAAAATTGAGAGTTGATGTCCTATCAAGAACATGCGGTGGTTCATGTCACGGTATTGTAAAAGCGTTTATTGATTATAAAATAATTGATTTCTCACTTTCATCATCATCATTTTGGCGTTACAAACCTGCATGGGTTCTAGCCTCCCCAAGAATATCTCTCCACGTGTTTCCATATCTAAGCACGTATTTCCATATTTCTCATGTCTTCATCGATGGGATCAAGAAACCTAGTTCTGGGTTTTTCTCATCTTCCTTGACCAATGGGTCTATCAAGAAGCGTTCTTTTTGGGTTATTCTGTTCCATCTGTATTAAATGCCTATCCACTTCAGACGTCTTAACTTAATATATTTGACAATATCAGGTACCTGGTATATTCTATAAAGTTCGAAGTTGTATTATCTTCTCCATACTCCATTGTCATTCAGTGCTTCATAGATTTGCCTTAGTACTTTTTTTTCAAAAGATGAAAACTTGTTTTCTTTAATCTTCGTTAGAGTTCAGATCTCTGAACTATATGTTAGGATTTGGCGTTTTATTGTTTTATAGAGTTTTATTTTTGTATGTTCGATATAATTGTGGATTTAAGGAGGAGATTGAGCCCAAAATAGCATGTGTTGTCAGTGCAAATTCTGCGGTTTATATCTGCGATATTATTATTTTTAGTGTTAAGGAGCTCTTCCAGGTATATAAATTCATTCACTGCGTCTAAGACGTCGTTTTCTATAACAAGTGGTCGTAGTATTTGTGGTTGCTTGCTTATTTTCATATACTTCGTCCTGTTTGTATTTATTATTAAACCCATTTTGTAGCTAATTCTTTTGATGCTACATATACCTCTTGTACAGCTTTTTCTTCTCCCAACAGTATTGATATCATAATTTATTCGTCTTCCGGGTTTGGACCGTGTCATTTGTGAGTGACCCAAAAGTGGGTTCATCTCGACGTTTCGCTACAATTGTATGTAGCTTCTTCAGGAGAACAAAGAAAAAGAAATCAAAAGACAGGAAGATGGGTAGTTAGCAACGGTAACTCAGTTACTCAACGCAACCAGAGGCAAAAACTAACTACCAAGATGGGCATTTGGTCACAGTAACTCAACTACTCAACGCAGCCAGAGGTGAAAACCAAATGCCAGGACAGGGATTCACGTCCAACAGCTCAGAACACTAACGCGTCAATAGGCGGGGAGTGAATTCACGTCCAACAGCTCAGAACACTAACGCGTCAAGAGGCGGGGAGTGAATTCACGTCCAACAGCTCAGAACACTAACGCGTCAAGAGGCGGGGATTCACTCCCCGCCTCTTGACGTGTTAGTGTTCTAAGCTGTTGGACGTGAATCCCTGTCCTGGCATTTGGTTTTCACCTCTGGCTGCGTTGAGTAGTTGAGTTACTGTGACCAAATGCCCATCTTGGTAGTTAGTATTCGCCTCTGGTTGCGTTGAGTAACTGAGTTACCGTTGCTAACTACCCATCTTCCTGTCTTTTGTTTTCTTTTTCTTTTTCTTTGTTCTCCTGAAGAAGCTACATAGAATTGTAGCGAAACGTCGAGATGAACCCACTTTTGGGTCACTCACAAATGACACGGTCCAAACCCGGAAGACGAATAAATTATAATTCTGACTCTGGCCGTGGAAGCCTACGATCTCGTTAGTATTGAAATCATCTGCACAGGGTCTCCCTGGCGTAGCCCGTTATTTGTTGAATTCGTACCCTACATTCAACTTTTTTAAGAGTTAGTTTTGTTAAATTTACCAACTGATTTGGTATTCCTAGCCCTTTCATTGCTTTGAACATTTGTCTTCTATTCACAGAGTTGTAGGGTGGTTTGTAGTCTATAAATATGTGATGAGTAGAAATGCCATATTCCAGTGCCGTTTCCAAAATTTGCCTTAGGGTTGCAATCTGATAAATAGTCGATTTACCACCTCTGAAACCAGTCTGGTATTTTTCTACTATCTGTTCTGCATATGGTGCCATACGGTGACATAGTACTGTAATTCCTCTGTGGTTAGAGCATTCAAAAAATCTCTTTTTGTGTATGGTGCAAAGTACTCCAATATTCTAATCATCAAGAAGAGATTTCTGTGTCCATATTTCTTTAAAATAAGCTGCTGTAATGCCATTTTGGTATCATGGCCACCTTCTTTATATAGTTCAGCTGCGAGATTATCTATTCCGGGTGATTTGTTCCGGGCTAATGTTTTAACTGCATATATTACTTTAAGAATCATTGGTGGTTCCTCTTCCCTCTCATCTGTTTCCCTTACCTGGTTCAAGTATTCCACCCAGCTATTTAATACATCTTTCCTTGTTGTTAATAGGTCGCCATTCTAACTTCTACATTTTCTTGTGCTTGCCTTGAATTCTTTTCTGTTGACGTTAACTTGCTTATAGAATGCTCTGAATTATTTCTCTTGGTTAAGGTTTTCTATATATTTAAGTTCCTTCTCTAAGTGGTCTCACTTTCTGTTAAAGGAATATCTTATGGTTGTGGAAGAAAGCCAACACCCCTGGCGAACATCAAGCTGGTAGATTGCTTATTTGTAAACCCGTGTATTAAGTAACTTATTAATATTGGATATAAACATGGGCTATAAACTGAGTCCCAAATCGATCGTGTCAGTAACAATAAAAGCAATTGTAAGCCTTTTTCCTTTTTTTTAAGTTTTCAAAATCTACTCATCTTTTGGAAAATGATGCTGTCTTGCTACATTGCACTAGGACCCCGTACAGACTATGGTAATTAAAGTAAATGGCCAACCAATCAATAATATTTGGTTCCTAGATGACACTACTATAAAAGAGGATAGTCCTTAGCCTGGGTGACTGCAATGATAAAGCAGAAGATTCGGTAATATCAGACATGAATGAAAGGTTTAATAAATTCTGCTCCACGAAGGAATTGGAAATAGATAATTCAATTTTCAGTCGTAAACCGCAACATAAATACATATTACTTAAAAACACAATAGCACAAAATATGATTACATAGTAATCAATATAGCAATACGTACTAAACCACTATGAGATGTTAAGAGTATATTTCCAGCAAATACGGAGAGTCATCATTGCTCAGTAATGGGTATAATCCATTATAATTTTTGTAGTAATTATTACAAATAACAATATAAAGAAAAATAAAATAAAACGGTTGTAAGAAGAAGTCAGCCATATTGGATACAAAATCTCATAGATCTAGAACAAGCAATCAGATTTAGAATAAAACAACCGAAAAACTTTTTTCTTTAACATATCTTCTAAATAAGAAAAATTTATTTTAAAAACCCCAGTAAGTTGTCTTCTTCAAACGTTTCAATTAAAAATTCATGTTCTAATGTTGTTCATAATCCATTTAACCACTCGCTTACTATACACAGGTCCAGATGCAGACAAATGCGAAAAACTGGCAAGCAGTAAGTAAACACTCTTGAATTTCATCCATTTTTTTCTACAGCTTTCTATTTTTAAATCAGTATATTTGGTTTGTATTCGTAGACGATCATTAAGCCATTGTATTTTAAAGAGTTTATTCGTTATTTATTTCAGCAGTAATTTGTCTATTATTTTATTTATACTGGATTGGTTTTAAAAATTATTAAAATCTATATGTAAAGATGTCGTTTAAGCTTATGTACACCAGAAGAACTAATAAACCATTGAAATGTTTAATTAGTGTCATCAACTTTATGTCCATACCTAGTCGATAAATAAAAATTGAACTCAAAGAAAAATAAGGTTTAAATTCACCTACTCTGTAGATATTTTCAGAAAAATTTGCCATGATTTTCTCTATGCAACTACTGGACTGGGATGTGATTCTAGTATAATATTTTATATACTTTTAGACAAAAAGATGTTACTAGATTTTAAATATCAAAAAAGAGTCAGATTAAATTTTATCCTTTAAAAAACAAACACAAAAGTTATTTGGATTGCAGTTAAACTTTTGGGTGTGGAAACTAGACTTACAATCTCAGCCACACGAATAAATTCATCTCCATACTGTGAAAAAGTATTCTGAAACGGCTTCTTAGGACACAAATTTGAGGTTGAAATTGGCATAAGACGCAGACCTTGGAAGCTCGTCTCCTTAACAACTCAACAATGGAACATGTGGGTATCTTTTAAATTTGTTGAAAAAACGCCGTTTTACAAGTTACTCCTATCAGAACTGACACATTAATTTGAGTATAAATCACATTTTCAAATTTGCCGGTTTTTTGCGACTAAACTAAACACATCTGCAATTCAATGCAATTCAATGGTCAATCATTCAAACCTGCCTTCTCTTCGACCTCGATCTCTGTATCGTACCGGTATCAGTTCTTGCGTCTCACCTCTCGTGTCCGTCCTCTCAAAGGAATTCTTTTCAAACACGGCATTTGACCTTGAATCATTGCCTGCTTTTAAAATTGTAGAACGAACACGTACAAATAAATAAAACCATATTTAATGTCGCAGTTATAATTGTAATTTGGAATTTTTTCTTTACATCACAATATAAACAGTGAGTCAGCGAAATATTTATATTTGACCCAGGGGCGTACTAGATAAATTTTATACTTTGAATATTCGACAGTTTTTAAGGAATTTATTATGCTACAAATGCAACAATAATGTACTTACTTCGATTTAAATAGGCAAACGGTTTAATACATTTTTAAAACCATATCCACTTTGCTTTGCATATTTATGAATTTTATACATTATTTATATAATCAAGTATAAGTAGTATTTTGGTATATCATATAAGTGTTCAGCTTTATTGTAGGATTTGCGCTACAGCATCAGGAATTGATTGAAAAGCACAGTATAATAGTATATACAACCAAAAGAGTATAGATCAGTCAAAAACCAAACCTTATATTTCATATTTTTGCAGATAAACCCGAGTGTAAAAAATGTTCCAAGGTATTGCAAGAGCTTGAGAATATCGACGACGAAGCAGATCAATTGGGCATCGGTTTTGTTAAAATTAATGACGAAAGCTTGGCCGAAGAATACAACTTGGGTGCGCTTCCTGCTCTTGTATATTACAGACACCAAATTCCAATTATCTATGAAGGTAAGCTCTTTTGCTTTAGTTTTTTAGCTCTTTTTAGTATTTTTGCATTCATAGATTAATCAGAGTAAGTTGTTCTAGGTCTAAAACTAGAAAGAATAAAATTAATGACAAAACTAACCTTTCCTCTTTTTAATGTGCCTATCCGTTACGAATGAAGCGCGGAAAAGCTGCAAAGATGTTGTATTGAACCAAATTCTGAGGCTATTTAACCAAGATGTTCTTCTTCTTCCTGGAACTCACTTTCCAAATATTTTTTTACAGGATGGCTTAAAGGAAAAGGATTGTCAGAGGACTGAATAGGGTACATAAAGAAGTAGAAGCTGATAAATTAAATTCATACGAGCTAGTCAAGTAAGCTGGGCAATCATTTTCATTCTAAAAACTTGATCGACCTGTTCTATTCTTACATTCTATGATCGACCTGTTTGTCATAAAGTCAGCTATTTTTGTTGCCATTTTGGTTTACTAAGGACCACGAGAATTTTTCATCTTTCTTATGACTTCATTTTTCTTCTCTGTCAGTAGGGTTTCATTTTATTGGAATGTTCCTCTTTTCTTTGTTGTGACTACATGCTAGTGGGGTGAGGAGTTGAGATAGTTAGAGGTGTTTTTAAAATGTTTTATTCCTCTTAATAAATATTCCACATTTTTATAATTCTTTCTCCTAGAAATTTTTTAAAGACTTTTTATCTTAGTCAAACTATGGAACAGATTATTTTTTTTATTGAAGAATTTAAACAGTGATAAACCAAATAACCACATTTTTTGTTTTTATTTTAGGTGAACTCACTAGAGAAGATGACGTATTAGAATGGTTGGTACAGCATAAAAGTACAGGGGATGAAGATGATACTATCGAAGATGTGACTCTAAAAACTCTTTCCACTCTTATATCTAGTGTGGATCACTTAGCTGTGCTTTTCTGTAAGTATTTATTTATATGACTAGAGATTTTGCTCGTCACCATGCGGCGGGGAGTCCAATCAATTATCACCTACAGTCACGCCACACAATTGTTTCTGGATTCCTCTTATTTAAGACTAGAATGACAAAAAAATAATATTTTAGTCTGTTGTACACTTTTATAGCAAATAAGTCAGTTTGAAGAATCGCTGATCTTTTGCTTTAAGTCGTCTGATGAAATAGATCTACGTACAAAAACCAGCGTAAATTCTAGTTTGACAATTCCTTCGTTTCAAAGCTCGAGTTATGTATTAAGTTTTTTACCGATCACCAAATTCGCAGCCATTTTTTTAGGATTAACAACCTTTCAATAGAATGAAAAATTAAATTTTTAAAATATTTCTATCTACAGTAGTTTTTCTATCTACAGTACAGTCTTTAAAGAACAGACAAAATATATATTAAATTACTATATTCTTAACAATATTTATGTTATTGTATTGTCTCAGATGATCACGGATCCGAAGAATCTACCAAAGTTCTCGACGACCTGGAGCACATCGACGACGATTGTGACAAATACGGCATCCAGTTTGTCAAAATAGACGACACTAACGCCGTCAAAGAATACGGATTGGACTCACTGCCTACGCTTGTATACTTCGAAAAGGGAATTCCCAACATCTACGACGGAGATCTGGAAGAGGAGTCCGAAATTCTGGAATGGTTGGTTGAACAGCTGGAGAAAGACGAAATTGAGGATGTCACTGATGAAATGTTAGATAAGTTGATACATGAGAGCAAGTTTTTGGCTGTACTATTTTGTAAGTAAACAGATTTGTATTAATTACTTCAGTTTTTTTGTGGTTTATTTGGTAATAAGCGTTAAAGACCACAGCAATCATTATCTTTCTAGTTCTTGTTCATCCTTCTTTATCTTCCATACACTTTCTAGGCCTACAAAAAATTATTTAGAACAAATTGTAGCGGACTCCTATGTTTTTTAGATGATGACGACGACAAAAAATCACAAAAAGTCCTCAACGAACTTGAAAACATCGACGATGAATGCGACCAGCTTGGCATCGTTTTCGTGAAAATTGACAACGATGACGAAGCTAAGGAATACGGTATCGAAAAGATACCTGCTCTTGTTTACTTCGAACAGGGAATTCCCACGATTTACGAAGGAAATCTCGAGGATGAAGAGAAAGTTCTCAAATGGTTGGAACACCAGGTTAAACATGACGAAATTGAGGATGTTACCGACGAAATGTTGGATCTGTTGATCAAGAGAAAGACTCATGTAGCCGTTTTGTTCTGTAAGTACCTACTGTATTTTTTATACTTTTATAATTAAGTGTATTATCATTGATACTTCAAAGTTTTTAACTATAATATTTAAATAATTTATAGCACTGTATGAATTACAACTAGAAAAAACAATACTTTTACTTTATCATTCTCATTATATATTATTATATTTTTACAGATGACAAAGGCCAAAAGAAAAGCCAGAAAGTCCTAGCAGAATTGGAAAACATCGACGATGAATGTGATACCAACAACATAGCATTTGTTAAAATCGACAATCCAGAGGAGGCCAAAGAATACGGTATCGACACGATTCCTAGTTTGGTTCTCTTCGAAAAACGTATTCCCCATTTGTACGAAGGTGATTTGACCAAAGAAGAAGAGCTGTTGGGTTGGTTGTTGCACCAGAAAAGGCACAGTGAGATTCCAGATGTCACTGATGAAATGATGGAACTGCTGATCAATTCTGAGAAATACCTAGCTGTACTATTCTGTAAGTATCACAATTATACGATCAGATCTCTTTAAGAATCTTTACGAAAAAATTACAACTTCATTAGCTGTTAGTTTGATCCTATTTAGAGGTGTTTAGTCATTCTTCTTTCTATTTTGGTTATAATTTATTGTGTGTCACAACTGATTTTGCTATTCGTCTCCATTTCTTTTAATTTTCACATTTTCTTCTTCTTTACGTGCCATATTCGCGACGGAGGTTGGCAATCACCATGGCTCTTCCGATCTTAGATGCTGCCGCTGTGAATATTTCAACTGATGTGCATCTGTACCATTCCCTCAAGTTACGCACCCATGAGATTATTCTCCTTCCTTCACTTCTCTTGCCCTGGATTTTCTCTTGTATAATTTTTCTTACCATTGATTTATTTTCATGTTTGAATGTCATTTTCCATGACTTCCTTGGCTTCTTCGTTGTATTGGCTTCCATCTTGTAACTTTCTTGATCATTTCGTTCACCAATCTTCTGGCGATGTGCCTTTTTTATCAGTAGCTTAACAAACTCCGTCGGGGTCCCCTGCAGAATTAAAAATGGTGCCCCTTTTAAAATTGTAATTTTCAAACCTTTAAATAGTCACGTACAAATTATTATAAATTATAATCTTTTTCTTTGTTCGTTCCACTCCTGTTTTTGTTTTGTCACCGATCCAAATATGTCTTCTATATTGCATGCTCTTCTTATGTTTTCGCTTTTTTTTATAAGTTTTGTCATCTCTAGGGTATACTTTCTTCTCCGTGTTTTACAAGCTCGTTGGTTATTCCGTATGGTCCTGGTGACGTTCTATTTTTGAGTGAATTTATTGCTACTACTTCCTGAAAACTGATTTCTATTTAGAGTCTTAATTCAGGTACGTTAATATATTGATTTTTATTTTCCTTTGCTTTAAACAATTCCGTCAGGTATCTTTCCCATTCGTTTGCTGATATATTATTGTATTCCTTTAATTCTGCCATTTTTTCCGTTGGTTTCTTATGAATCTCTATATTTATTTTTATGTACCATAGAAGTCACTTTCCATCCTTTTTGCAAACCTTTTGTTCCCAGTGTCCATTTTTTGTTATTCTTACCAAAGTAAGAAAAATAGTATTCATTATTTCTATCAATTGGCATATTTTCTTCTCATTATGATTTTTTTTTGTGGTGTATGTTGCTGATTATATTTTATTTTTAGATGATAAAGACGACAAACAAGACATAAGAGTATTGAATGAGCTAGAAAATATCGATGACGATCTAGAAAAAGAAGGAATTACTATGATCAGAATTGATAACGACGCAGAAGCCAAAGAGTTCGGTATTGATCACTTGCCAACTTTGATCTACTTCGAAGATAAAATCCCATCTTTATATGAAGGTGATCTAATGAATGAAGACGAGGTATTAAAATGGTTGATTGAACAGAAACAAACAGCAACTATCGAGGAAGTCACTGATGAGATTCTTGAAGATCTGATCCAGGAGCATGAGTATGTAGTTGTTTATTTCAGTGGAAATTGTGAAGAAGGTCAACAATGTGATGATATTTTGAAAGAGCTAGAAAACATCGATGATGAGTTGGACGAAACTGGTATCATATTCGTCACTACGGAAGACTTGGTGGTTGCTAAGAAATATAACATCAAAACATATCCCAAGCTCGTATTCTTCAGAAACAAAGAACCTTTGGTGTACACCGGTGATATTGAAGATGAAGATGAAGTTCTTGCTTGGTTAACCGATGAGGATACTTTAGAAATACCGGACAGAATTGAGGAAGTAAACTCCAAGATGCTGGATAAAATCCTTGGGGAAAATGAACATGTAGTTGTTTACTTTTGTAAGTACATATTATTAGTACATTTAACTGTGATACATAATTTATTATCGTTTGACTCTTTCAGATAAAGAAGGCGATAAGAGGTCTCAAAAGATCCTACAAGAGCTAGAAAACATCGACGACGAATGTGAGGACAAAGACATAGATTTCGTGAAAATCTCAGACGATGGCATCCAGAAAGAATATGATCTCCCATCTCTACCAGCTGTTGTGTTCTATAGAAATAGATTTAGAGAAATTTACACGGGTGACTTGATGCACGAAGAGGCTATTTTGGATTGGGTCTTGAACCTGAGAGACTCAGATCCCGACGTTATCGAAAATGTGGACAGGAAAACTTTACAGGTAGGTAGGTATTTATTATTGATAATAATAATTAATAAAAAATATAAGATAAGTACTTTATAGACAGCCATTATATTAGTAGTAGATTTAAAGCATGTTAATAGATTCCTAGTTACAGAGGTTTAGACTATTTTTTGGCAATTTAGACATATAATTAACGTCATTAATTAAAAATCTATACCAGAGTCAAACCAGACATAACTGCCAGAGGAGCAAAGATTATTCTCGCATTTGCAGATGATGTAGATGCAGTAGCACAGACAACACTGGAAGTTAAGGATATAGTATCGAACTTTGAAGAAGCAACACTAAGCGTAGGCCTGAAAATAAACGAAGAAAAAACTAAATACATGGTCGTATCAAAAAAGGAACGACAGCGAATAAGACAAAACATTAACATAAACGATCATAATTTTGAGGTGGTCAAAGAATTCAAATACCTAGGAGCAACAATTACCAGTGAAAACACAGGAGAACGGGAGGTTGAAATACGAATACTGGCAAGGAATAAATCATTCTTTGCCATTCAACATCTAATGAGGTCAAAGCTTCTCTCAAGGCGTGCCAAAATCCAAATGAACAAAACCATAATACGACCAGCAGTGACATATGGAAGTGAAACATGGACATTGAGAAAGAAAGCTATAGATAGCTAGAGAATAAGCTATTAGTATGGGAACGCAAAATCCTGCGAATTATATATGGTCCTTGAAGGGACAGCGTGACAAATGAATGGAGGAGCAGATCTCTCTCTTCAATCCTGACCCCCCAAGGGGAGTGTAGTGATCGACGTGATGTCGTGTATTGTCCGTCTCCAGAGATCTCTGTCTCTGGTCATTTCTTTTAATTCATGCATAGGTCTTTGGCATATTCCTGTAATTTGATCTATCCATCTTGTTGGGAATCTTCCTCGTGATCTTCGGCCTTCTACCTTTCTTTGTATTATGAGTCTTTCCATGTTTTCTGTGTTTGCTCTCATAACATGCCCAAAATATTTTAATTATTGGAGATGGACTTTACTAGAGAGTCGTTGGCTAACTTTTAGCTCTCTTAAAATTGAATCATTTGTTCTACGGTCGGTCCAAGGAATTCGTAACATTCGTCTCCAACAGAACTTTTCAGTGGCGTCTATCTTTTTTCTCTCCGATTGTGTCAGAGTCCAAGATTCACATCCGTAGGTCAGTATTGGGAATATTAAGCAGTTGATCAACCTCATCTTTATCGGTCTTGAAATTTGACAGTCCTTCCATATTTTGGTCATTTTTGTTGTGGCAACTTTTGCTAGATCACATCTACGTTTAATCTCTTCTTGTAATGACCCTGTGTTTGTGATTAATGATCCCAGATATAAGTATGAGCTCACAACCTCGAACCGGTCAATTGTGGTTATGTGTGGATGATTGTTGTGTAGTCTATCCACTATCATGATCTTTGTCTTTGATATGTTTAATTGCAGACCAAATATTTGACTTTCGTTTTCGATCAGTCGTATAAGTTCTATCAGCCCTGCTTGACTATTTGCAAGAAGGGCTGTGTCATCTGCGAAACGTAGGTTGTTTAGTTTATGACCATTTATTGAGATGCCCTTTTCCCATCCTTCAAGTGCTCTTCGCATAATATACTCCCCATATATGTTGAATAATTGTGGAGATAGTATACATTCTTGTCTGACACCCCGTTCTGGATGAAATTCGTTCGAAAGTGTGTCAAGTACTTTAACTGATCCAGTAGTGTGTTCATATAGTTCGGTTATAGGCGTAATTAGATGTTGTGGTACGCCTACTTCTTTTAGTATTCGCCATAAGTGTCTCCACTTGACGATGTCGAACGCTTTACGGTAATCTATAAAACAGATGTATAGTGGGATGTTGAATTCCCTAGATTTCTCGATTATCTGTCTTATATTCAGCAGGTGTTCTCGAGTGCCTCTACCTTTGGTAAATCCAGTTTGCTCTTGTGTAATTTCTCTTTGAAGGAATGTTTTCAGTCTCTCATTGATTATATGTAGTATTATCTTGCTGGCATGGGATATAAGAGAGATAGTTCTATAATTGTCGCATTTATGGAAGCTACCTTTTTTATGTATGGTCGTTATTGTAGATTTTGTCCAGTCTTCAGGCCATTGTTTGGAATGCCATATTTGGTTACAGAGTAGATGAAGTAACTTTACGCCGGTTTCTTCTGTGGCTTTAAGCATTTCTACTGTTATCATATCTGGACCTGGTGCTTTGTTATATTTGAGCTTGTTGATAGCCTGTCTTACTTCATTTTCTTATATATCAGGTTCTTCTTCCACCTCGTCAGAGATTTGGCTAACAAGCTCTTGGCATTGATCATCTTTATATAGGTCCCTGCAATACGATCTCCATGTCTCTGCTATGTCTTCTCTGTTTGTTCTCAGGGTTCCAATGTTATCTTCAATGGCCCAAGTTCTAGCTCTGAACTCTCTTGTCAGGTAGGACAAGAGACTTCAGAGGAGGAGCAGATACAACAATGAAATAGAGACTCTCTTCGGGAAAGGAAACATCGTAAGATACATGATCCCAATGCCAATAGATTAAGATGGGCAGGCCACGCGGTACGGAGTGATGACGACATACTGATTAGAAATGTGTTTTGGGAAAGACCAGATGGTAGAAGATCGACAGGAAGGCCTAGAAAAAGGTGGAAAGACGCAGTCAGGGAAGACCTGGAGAAGATGGAAGTAAGGCCATGGGAAATAATAGCACAGGATCGGAATCAATGGAAGGCAATAGTAAACGCGGCAAAAACTCACGAAGAGTTGTAAAAGCCAATGATGATGATGATGATGAATTAACTTCATTATCAATAGCCGTTTCGGGTCCACTACTAAGTGGCTAATAAAGATGAGAAGTACAATGAGTACTAGCTATGATTATGTTAGAATATTCGATGGATGGTGAATATTATCATAATACAATACTTTGAAATTTTGAAACCATAACAGGTTTCGTATGCGGTAGAGAGTTAAATAAAATGGAAATATTAATCAAAAAACTTATGTGGATTAAACTTTGATTCAATAATCTTTTTTGTTAAAGGTACTCATAAACGACGTTGAACATCTAGCTGTCTTATTCTATAGCGATGACTGCGAGGACTGCAAACAAATCCTAGAAGAACTCGAAACCATCGACGATGATACTGACAAACACGACATACAATTTGTCAAATCCATGGATGCCAAATTGGCATCCGAAATCGGCATTTTCAGTTTTCCTGCTTTGGTTTACTATGAAACTGGGGTTCCAATCATGTATGATGGTAAGCGAAGCATTTCAGTAATTAATAATTTGCAAAATACAATTAAATGAATTTTATTTTTATATTTTTATATAACGGCAAACGTTACAGTATGTACCAATTTATTAAAAATATTCGACAACTGAATTCAAGTATAAACATTTCGTAAAACTAAAATAATTTAAGTTTCAATTAAAATTTAGTGTTAAAAATAGTAATTTCATATAAATATAGTCATAATCATACATTCAGTTTTCTTCAAATTCATCTTTAGCCCGTATTCATAACATATTCGTTAAGGTGTTGCAATAGTTTTGTAAATCCTTGTTGTCATCCGTTCATTATTACTGTATTGTCTGCAAAACTGAGTTGTACAAAATTGATAGATACATTCTCAGAGTGTTCTGGTTGTCAACTATTACCTTGTCAGTTTGTATAGATTAGATATAATTTTTCTATCATGACTGTCAATATTTCTACTTTTTGATATATCTACAATCTTTTTATGTTGAACCTTATCAAATGCCTTTTCAAAGTATACAAAACAGTACCTACTATGTCCTTATCCATTTCCATGCATTTCTGAGCGATTACATTCAAGGGAAACAAAGTATCTTTTGTGGCCATACGATTTCTAAACCCAAATTCAGTGTTCCTAATTTTAATTTCAAGAGATTTAACAATTCGTATATTAATGTATTATTTTCAAAAATGTGTTAAGTGTGTAACTCAGTGATCTGAGCAGGTTTTTGCACTTGATTCATGGGAATTGCTACAAAGATTCATTGCAGCCATTGTCGGAGGATTGTGACAGTCTGATATATTAGATTAAAGAGTTAAACCATTATTTCAATAACAGTTTTATCAATGAGTTTTAATAATATTGCTGTTTTTGGATAGTTGTATCCACGTGTTGCGTAAAGGTTAAGCCTTGGTCAGTAGTGACTCCTAGGTCTTTTGCTTCTCTTTTTCATTCGATGGGATTATCTTGCACTAACAGCTGTTCTTCTGGAGTTTCTCTTTTCTTTTTGAATATTATTGCTTGTGTCTTTTCAGAATTGATTGCAATATTTCGTTGGATACACTGGACATTCTTCAATGTTATCCAGTGCTGTCTATAGATTGTTAACCGCTATCTCTGTGTTTCTGTGTTTGACGCTGTAATCGCTCTAAAAACAACGTAATGAAGCATTTAAGATGTGTACTTGAGTTCAGTTGTTACATTTATCTACACAATGCTGTCGAGTTTAAATTTTGCCATGTTATAGGGGACCTTTTAAACGAGGACAAAGTTTTGGAATGGCTTATAGACCAAAAAAGTAAGAATAAACGAATTTAACTACTCTTAATTTGTAACGTCATCAATATTTAGTCTAAATCGTAATGGATTTTTTTCTAAAACAACTTATCAAAATATTTAATAAAAAAATCAATTTGAAAATAAAAACATTGGCTTAATACATGCGAGGATATGCGGGGTGTGTTGCATGTGTCGGCTGCATGTTGCTGTAATTCTCTAGGTGATGATGATGACGACGATGATGATGACGACGATGATGACGACGACGAGGATGACGATGATGATGATGACAACAATACTAATGAAGATGATGACGACGACGATGATGAAGATGACGATGATGACGACGATGACGATGATGACGATGATGACGGTGCTAGCGGTCTTAACTTAAAAATCTTAAAAGGATCAAAATCAGGTAAAAGTGGGCCCTCTAGGTTCACTTATATAAAAATATCTTTCGGTGTTGTCCAAGTCAGATAAATAAATACAAAAAACAATAAAATACCAATAGGCAAATTAAATTATAACTAAAATTAATAAACATTAAGCTGAATCATATTGAAAAACTTACTTAATTCAATATTAGGTATTTTTGACAATTGACAATATTATCAAATCAAAAAAACTATTAGTATAGATAATAATATTTGCTGTATTGTATGGAAGTTAACCACAACTTTATTTTAATGATTCGATTTCCACTTCCGAAATTTTTGAATATCTACAAAATAAAATCTTTTACTTCTCCATGTCAATCTTTAAATGTCAAAGTCATCACTTGTAAGACTCTTGGATTGCTTACTAGACCATTAAATCATCACCATTTAGCCATATCCTTATTATTAACCTAGTTAAATCAACTTCCCCTCTTAGAAAATCATATTGGTGATCTCTTTCATCCCTGATTTTTTTTTCAAAGGTAAAATTGTTCTGTTGATATTTTCTTTAATTGGACACCTAAATAATACTGAAAATATTTTGTAAAAAATTTTTGACCCCCCACTTTTGATTTTACAAATTTGTCGTAACTTCTACCAAGAGGTCATTAAGGCATAAATAAACATAAAATTATATATAATATTTTATTACAGAAAAAACATGTATAAAAATATATTATGTTTTATTGACGTCGTGTATGATAACTGCTGAAACAATTTCTATCTTTCAACAAGCACAAAAAGACGTTACACTTTTCACACATCGTGCATGATCTTCCGCTGCATCCTTGAAAACTGCAACGCTGTTCGTGACCTTTTGTAGGAATTCGCCATTGAGAAATTTCATCATATCTCACTTCGCTGACAGGTTATTGCTGTTTTATTCGTTTGGAAGGAAACGTAAAAGGGGAACTTTCAGGAGACTCTCTGGGAGAACTTCCGGGTGACTCATTTAAAGGACGACCTCACTTCGGTGTTCTCAGTGGAGCATTAAAAACAGAAATTTATTTAGCGAATAGTTAATTGTAGTGTATATTAATCTGACTTTGTCAATGCTGAAAGTGAGACTAAAGAAAGTTCCGGTACCTCCCACCAAATCCCTCAGTTAAATCGAGAGTCCGGCAGTCCTGGACGGTAGTACCCAGCTTTGGATTGGCGATACCTTAGCCTTAGCCTGTGCAAGCGCATGCCTTTTCCTAGCATTGCATGAAATAGGCATAGTGTCAGACTCTCATGTTCTCACCATGTTTGACAACTCTACTAACAGTAACGTTCTTATTTGTTATTATTATTTTCATGTGTTTATTCAAGTGGATTCTGACATTATGTTTCTTTCATGCTGCAGGAGATGGCTGCTTCTACATCGGAATGGGAGGTAAGACTGCCCTCGCCAATCCAACACAGTACCAACCGTACCAATGCTGTCCCAAACCCCCCGCAAAGGCCAGCAAGGTTGCCAAGCTTCAAGCCAAGCCCACACCGGCTCCAAAACCATCCAAGCAGGTAAGAGGAACTTGGTAGTATTCTTGAAGATTGTTGGCATTTTAAGTGAAAGCTGTATCTAATCATTGTAAAATTATTTGTCCACAAAAGGTAAATTTTAAATCAAGACATGTTTTTTTAACAAAAATTTTAATCGATTAATTACCATTATAAGACGAAAAATCTCTATGCCGGTTCCGTCCTGTGCCCACATATATCTCAAATGTAGGTGTGATTACAGCAAGACTCCAGCAAAATATAGAAGACCAGTAAGTACTTTAATTTCTTCCCTATTTGTACTGGTGGCATCTCTTTCTCTACTGTAATTTGTCCGAAGCTTTAGAATATATTTGTTTGTGTGTTCAACTATTTCGCTGATGGCAGAGTCTGGAAAAAACAATTGCCAAGTATCAATAACGGTTTTTTGCTTCTCTGGCTTGTCCAAGTACTCCACAAGATTAAGTCACTATGTTTCTGCTCCGAATCTTTTTGTTTAAAGAGCTGCGGGAAATTTATTCCACAACGTCATTTTGTCCCTTTCCACAAAATACAGACGAGTATTTAGATCTTGCTGAGTTTTGTTAAAATCTGGTAGCTCTTCTCCTTCTGATTGCTCTGAATTAGAGTCATGATCATTGTTTTCCAAAATGTCATTTTGGTCTTCAAGAGGTCCACCTATCGATCGTCACTCTCAATTTCAGCTCATATGGCTGACTAAAATTCGCTTTATTTCCTTCTAGTAAGAACCCATAACCTGCAAATAAAAAATACTATTACAAATCAACATATATGTAATTATATTTTCCACTAAAATACTAGACTTAAGAAATATTATAAAAAGAACTACACACAGGCTTCACTTACCGTATTATTAACTATAAAAAGCAATCCTTTGCTACTGTCATCTGTCCAGTTATTTGGTGTAGTGTGTCCTGCATGTACATAGGTTCCATCAACATATACAATTGACTCACCTTCGCTTCTGTAATATTTAATCGTGTCCAAATATTTAATGCGTCGAACACGAATATCATTCCGTTCAATTAATAAACGTCGATTATCTTTCGTTTCCTTTCATTTAAATTTCAGATCTTTTACAATTCTGTAGAGAGAACTCACACTTCCAGTCCACTCGTACACCTCTTCAAGCCTTTTCTGCAAAAGCTTTAATGATACACGGCAACATTCAGTCTTATGAAAACGATTAATGGTATTACTAATGAAGTTTGTCGTACTCCCTCAAGTCTGTCATGATTGCTTTCCTTTTAGCAAGTGTTGTAGTTGGAAATCTTAGTGTATTATTTGACTCTGGGTTTGTTAACAGACTCGCTTGTTGAATGATCCTTTTTACTGTACGTAAAGATACTCCCGTAGCTTCACTCACACGTGGTTTATTACTGGTTTGATTATCTTCAGGAAATAGCATATACACTTTGACCAAACTTTATAGAGTATCAATTATTACAGATGGTATTATTACAAACAAAAGTTTGGTATCAATAAAACAATTAGTGTACAATGAAACTCCATTTATTATTTAAGTGAGTAATAATTTTCTAATTAGTGGGATTTTAAATAATTTAATTTGTTTAATATTGCAACCCCACTGCATGGGTCTGATCATAGATATTCTATTGACAGCGCGATTAACTATTTCGTGGAAGGGCTCGCCACTTGATTTAAAATAAGCCGTACTTATATACACATGCACGGTCAAAAGCACCGATTACAATAATATTAAACTGCATCTATTAAAGGCCAAATAAAAACTGAAATAATATAACGCAAGTCGATAAGGG